TACTTTTTGGACCCCTGGAGATTTGTCTTCAGTCAATGATTACAGTAGTGGATTAGATGTAGCAGTGATCAGATTTAGTATAAGGCTGTGTACTATGTTTCTAACATTTCAGAGAGCTAATGACTTGAAGTGGATGGAGTTAGGGCACATATGTCAGCCTCAACAATAGTCAGAAAATAAAGGAGAGTGTTGAGTTGCTTTGTTCATCCTTCTGCTCCTTTCTTTGCAAATTGTTGGCACTGTCCAGATAGATAGATAGATAGATAGATAGATAGATAGATAGATAGATAGACACACACACACACACACAGATTGGGAGTTGAAAGATGCAGATTTAAGGGCCCTTCCACAAAACCATATAACCCAGAATATCAAGGCAGATAATCCACAATATCTACTTTGAACTGGGTTATCTGATTCCAAACTGTCATATAATCCAATTCAATGTAGATTTTATACAGCTGTGTAGAAGAGGCCTTAGTCCCCACTGAGCCATGAAACTCAGTGAATGATCATGGGAAATTCACTCTTTTAGGATTCCATGAAGCTCTGGTGTGATAAGGATAAAATGCAGAGGAAGAAGACCATGAATACTACCTTTAAACATTTTTGAGGTTGATTAGGCTCAGAAGCAGCCATTTGCTCAGTGTAAGAAAGTGCATTAAACAGAGGTTATTGTACTTGGGATGCATCAAGACACGATTCACTGGAAAAGATGATAATGTTAGGTACAGTGGAAGAGAGGTATGCATAGATGGATTTATTCAATCGCAGACTGGAACCAGGAATATCATTTTTCATTTAATACACATACACATACACACACACAAATCTCAACAAAACATTCAAATTCACAAACAAAATATTAAATATTCAGAAAAGAGAAAACAAAGGCGAAATAAAACAAAAAGGAAAGCTATGGTACCTTGTAGCAGCCTCAGTCCTCTGGATTCATTCTATGGCATTCATCATTTTATTACCATGTGATGATGGACATACCTGCCTTTCAGCTCTACCTGCTTTCTACTACACATTGCTTATTTGGTGTTGTTGGGTTTTCTACAGGAAATGTTTTCATCCAAAGCTGGGAGGATTAAGTAGCACTTAGACGTTTGTAAAGATACTGAAGCCACAGAAAATACTTTCCTAGGTTTTTTGGGTTGTGACAGTGGTGGCAGTTTTCAGGAATGTGGACAAAAAAGCACCTTTTCCAAATCGAAAATAAATTTGTTACTTTAATAATAAACACTGCCATGTGTATAGTTCGGTTTGGCATGGAAGTTTGATGCGTGGCATATTAAATATACAGTTTATTTAGGAAATAATTTAAAATTTGAATTTACAGTACTTCTTTTAATAGTATTACAAATGCAGTTTCCAGGTCCTGAAGTGCAAGGAACATCTGACCTAGAGAAGAGAATCTATTTGCTTTTGCTCATTTATGAGGACTTGGGGGGGGGGGGGGTCATTAAAAACAGAGGGATTAATCAGTATTAGTAAGGAAAAATTATTTTGTTATTTCTAGTAATCTGAAGTGCGAGCAGTCCTAAAGCACTCACCCATGCCCATAAAAATAAGAGATGAAGATTGGCAATTGCAGTGTTGTGAGATATTGTACATTGTCTTATATTGTTACTTGCAACATCCACATTTATATAGGGGAGAGCAGATACAGGAACATCTTGTCTTAAATAATTTATTCACCATTGTAAGACAATCCACAATTTCTCCCCTCCCCCCAGGAAAAATGGGGGAAACACTCCCTCACATTTTTTTTGTTCTTTCCAGATCTTCACTTCTCTAGATGTAATGCCAAACTAAGTTTTTAAAAGAGTGTTCTTAATGGGTTATGTCAATACACCGTCAAGTTCCTCAGCTATAAACTCATTTGTTAGGCTTTATGGAACTGGGATAGATGTATTCTCTTTAAGCCATTGAGTATATGTGGGGAAATTCCAGCTTCATCTACCTGAGTTCTTACTAGTTTTCACCATTTCCCATTATGGTTGGTGAATGGCCTTTTGTCTTAATGGCAGCAGAGCATAAAGCCCTTAGATACCCATAGTAACACACACACTTAGCAATACATATTTCCCAAGAACTTCAATGTTGATTTTTAAAAATAGAAACCAGGATTTGTTTCATTGTAGTGTCTGTTTTCTCAAAACATAACTTCAGGAGAATAGTGTCTCTGTGTAACAACAACTTCAGGAGAATAGTGTCTCTGTGTAACAACGCCTTAATTGTATTGCACAAAGTTTATTTTGGTAACAAGAATCTGTGAACATTTTTCACATACCGATCAGCAAGGAGGCTTTGGGCTTACCTCAGTTTTGATGGGAAAAGTGGGCTGGAAATAAAGTTAATATTAACTCCTCGTCTCTTTTAGTTAAAAGGATCAGGTCTTTTCTGCTGCTCAGAAGCTTGAATGTTGGGGTTAGATAAGGAGTGGGCAACGTATGGGCTGCATGTGCTCTCCTGCTAGTTGTTGGTCTCTGAATCACCAACCATTTCCATGCTAAAACAAGACATGTAGGGAAGATGCGCTGTTTTACCACAGAAATGTGGCTTAGCAGTGGTTCTCAAACATTTGTCTTCCAGATGTTTTTTGAAACTCAGCTGCCAGGAGTTCTAGCCAGCTTGGGCCAAGTCAAGAATTCTTGGAGGTGGTCTGAAATACTTAGAGGATGAATGTTAGGGTGATTCATATATATCAGAAGTGGTTTTCCCTTCACTTTTGCTTAGCAGAACTACCAAATTTTGGCAATTTGCTGAGTGGGATAGTTTGTGCTGGGATCCATTGTTCTGAGATTAACCCATGGATACACCAAAGTTGCCCAAACCTAAATTAAATGGAGACATAATCTGTGATTTGAAGGCAGCTTGGTTGATATCAGTTCTTCGTATATCCAACTCAAATAAGAATTTGGATGCAGCTCATCTTTCAGCTTTAGTTAGAGTGGAAGGATCCACAACTAAGTATGTAGGTGTGAGATAAGACTATAAAGCTAAAAAAGAAATCAGAAACAGGAAATGAATCTAGAACCAGAACAGAAATCCAAAAGAACTGTCTATCAAGCTGCCTAAAAATAGCTGTGATGTCTGTAAGAAATAATAGATATATATTCCTATAGTCAATCTTCCCGTTTCCTTTTAGGTAATAGGGTACATCTGGCCCCCTTCTAGTTTCCTGGCGAACAGATACCACTCTCCTCTTTCTGAGAATGACTCTGAGGGAGAAGCTGCTTGGAAGCAAGACGTGTGCTTAACCTCTAACTTTAGATTTTATACCAGTCTTTAGGTTAAAGTTGGGGCTGCCTGAAGGGATTGTTAAGGGCCTAAGGGTCTTTGCAGTTTGGCAACTCAATAGACTCATCAGAATTCATTGCTTTATCTTTTCCACTTTTTACTCTGATGAGATCTCTCCATGGTCCTGGTCAGGTCGAATCCTAATTCTTCTTTCTTAATTTTTATTGAGTGCAGATAATGGCTTATGGGCAATTTGGTTTGTAGGCCATAAATAACATTGTTTGCCTGATTTAATATACCAAAAGTGGAATAAATAATCTCAGATACGTGCGTTCAGCACTTAATGGCTATTAAAGGAGGACTGTTGAATATTTACCCTGAGGGATAAAATGTATTGTTAATGATGGGCTATGAAAACACGTAAATACTTCATTTAATCATAAGGAACGTACACAGTCCAGTGTAACATTAGCCACTTTTCACACTCTCCTTGGGAACAACATTGGTATGTACCTAAGGCAGAGTCACTATAAGACATATGCTTTGACTCATGTTGTACATTATATTACTTTTCAGCCATGCCATGTTAAATGACGAATATAGGTCACAATGCAAAATAACTGAGTTTGCTTTCCTTGTGGTTTCTTAGGGTTAATGGATGTGATCAAGAGGCATTGTTGCCTATACAGCTGTTGTTTTCCATTGGCAGAGAGACCATAAAAGCTGACTTGTCTCACTACTGATTTAGTAGTATCACTAATGAGTCTAGTTTGCTGGATCTAACTTTTTGGTGATTTTTCTTCTCAAATTTGCTTGCAACTTGCTCTGCTTGAGCAGTATATATAAATGTTAATAAGCTTTTGATTGTATTAATACTCATGCAGAAACTATAATCTTCCTGTTGACTCACTATACATTTGTGGCAGTATACAGATAAATAAACCATGAAAAGTGGGAGAGGGGATGAGGTAAAGTATGAAATGCTGCACAATACAGAGGCCACAACAGAAAAGGATCCTTTCAAAGTACCCACCAGTCTCCTTCTCTTAGAAGTGGGATGCTTAATGAACTCTCACATGATTAATCAAAGTTTTGAACTGATTCAGTGAATTACAGCTGAGTGTCCCTTACCCGAAATGCTTGGGACCAGAAAATTCTACATTTTGTATTTTAAAAAATATGTTGGAATATTTATATATACACAATTTTGAAGGTGGAACCCACATCCAAACACAACATGTGGACAGTTTTGGGCTTTGGGGTATTTTGGACTTTGGAATTTCAGATAAGGGATGCTTAACCTGCACTACCTTTTAATCCTCCAAGAACATTGACATAACAATCAACCCCCCATTACTCCTGAAAGGGTACGTTCTCAGAAGCTCAGCCTGTCTCTTCTAGATTATGCTTGTGTGCCCGTTTCCTTAATGTCCAAATTATGGAAGATTTGGGTCATGTACCTTAAGCCCCGAGGAAGCCAACCTGTTTTCTGAAGCATATCTTCATCTACATTTCTGAGAAATAGTTGACTGTCTAAAATGATTTTTCCCCAAGAAACTTTGTAGTTACAGTATTCATATGTGGGACTGTAATGGGAGGCAGCTGCTTTAAGACAAGTAGAAATTTAGTATGATGTTTCCCAAATCATAGTTTTTTCTTTTGATCTTCCTGCAGAGTTCTTTGTTTGTGTTTGTGATTTTGTTTTTGGTCCTGTTTTTCTTAGCCTGACCTAGATTTGTTTTGTCTTACAGGTTCCCCAATGCTACACATGATGTGTTCAATGTCACCCTTCACACAACGCTGGCTCTTACCACAAAGCTGGTACTTCCTACACCTGCTAAGCCAATACTTCCAGTGCAAACTGGAGTTCAAGCTCAACAAGAGGAGCAATCGAGTGGCATGACTATATTCTTTAGTCTTCTTGTATTAGGTGAGGTGAATGTGTATTCAAATATCTCATATTACTTATTTTTGGCTGAATTTTGTCATATATAGCTCTAGTAGATAAGGGGAAATTTGGAAGCTGTGATATTTGATTTCACTTATTGATATCTGCACCTTTAGGCAACTTGTATTCATCGTGCAATGTTTCCATTTTGAAAAAAACAAAAAACAAAACTATATCAGAGACCTAAGAATTTGTAGAGGTTTCAGAGAGATGGAAACAAACAGAAATTTTGGGTTAATTAAAAAAAAACTAGGCATTTTCAGAGCTGATAGTAACTTGTTTCTAAACTGATAAATTTATTTATTATTTAAATATTTGTATCCTACACCATATCAGGATTTTCAACAAAAGCCTTTTTGAAACAACTGTAAATTGACTACAACATGCCAAATATTATTTTAATTAGTTTGTTGAAACATTTTAAATATACATATAAATTTAAGACAAAATCTTTCAATCCCAAGATTTTGATAAAGTTTAGCATAGCACCAACATCATGTCAGAGGTCATTAATAATCAACCTCTAAGACAGTGGTTCTCAACCTTGGGTCCCCAGATGTTTTTGGCCTACAACTCCCAGAAATCCCAGCCAGTTTACCAGCTGTTAGGATTTCTGGGAGTTGAAGGCCAAAAACATCTGGGGACCCCAGGTTGAGAACCACTGCTCTAAGAGATGTTAGTTACACTAATATGCTGCCATAGCAGAGTAGGCCATTTCCTGTTTCCACAGAATACATATGCTTGATGCCCTGTATCCACAGGCTCTGCATCCATAATAATCTACAGCTTCAAAATATTATTTTTTAAAATTGAAAAAGCAAATGTAAATTTTGTCATTGTATATAAGGGACCTCTTTCTATTGTGCTGTTGTATAAAATGGGAACTGAGCATCCATGAATTTTGGTATCCATGGGGGGGGGGGTCCAATAACCAAACCCCAATGGCTATCAAGGGTCCACTATAACGCTCACTGGTGGAACAAGGAAGAGAGTGGAACAAGGAAGAGAGTCTTGGAGACTTTAGTACTGTGCAAGTTAAATGCAGGAAGGGATATTCCTTCAGTGACAGGTTTTGGGCTATTTAGGACTTTAATTTTCACCACCATCATCTTGAATTCTAACCAGAAGCATATTGAAAGCCAGTGCAATTTTGCCTTCCGGTTCCGGTATGGCGGTCAGCAGCAGCAACGCTGAGCTGCGCTGACAGAGAAAGAACGGAGAAAGAACAATCTTGAAGAATCCTCCCCCCTTGACCACCAAATAAGGGGGTGTGAGGTCGGCACCCACTGCGGTCTTGCTGGACCTGAGAGAGAGCTGGAGGGTGCGACTGAGCCAGGGAGAGAGAGAGCCAGGAAAGCGGAGGTAGGCGAGGGAACGCCGCCGCCATTACAACGCGGCCTCTCCTCCTCAAGAAACCTACCTACCTGAGCCTGGTCGGCCGTCCGGCTCGCCGAACCGCCTGGGCTCCAGTCCGGGGCTTCGGTTCCCGCCGGGGGGCCCTCCTGCGACCTGAGAGAGAGCTGGAGGGTGCGTTTGAGCCAGAGAGAGAGAGAGCGCCAGGAAGGCGGAGGTAGGCGAGGGAACGCCGCCGCCATTACAACGCGGCCACTCCTCTTCAAGAAACCTACCTACCTGAGCCTGGTCGGCCGTCCGGCTCGCCGAACCGCCTGGGCTCCAATCCGGGGGTTCGGTTCCCGCCGGGGGGGCCCTCCTGCGTCGCTGCTGCCCAGGTCGCTGCTGCTGAGACGCTGTGGAGCGCGCCGCGGCTGCCGCGGTCGCCATCTTGGCGTCTTGCCATCGCTGGAGGAGGCGGCTGGAAGAGAGGCTGCCAGGCAGCTGGGAGGCTGAGAAGAGGTGGGCCGCCGCCGCCGGCTGCCGTCCTGCTCCCTCGCGGAGTGCCGAGGGGAGTTAGCTGGAATCTTTTGCAGCACCGGCAGCAACCCGGCGCCGAGGCTGCAGCCGCGAGCGCCGCGAACGACTGGGCCTCCACTGGGGGGCCTACTCCAGGTGAATTGCCGCACCGCGGGGGTCGCTTGAGCCAGGCCTTGGCTATCTGAGCCTTGCTGCGCCTACAATCGGGCATCGTCCTCTCCTCTGTGGAGTGTGGGGAGCGAGTTTGGGGCCTATTGCTGGGGCCGAAGCTGCTGCCGAAGCCGCGGCCGACACGAACGCCGTGAACGCCGCTCCAAATTAGGCCTTTGCCATCTGGGCCTATGAAGCAGGCCGCTAAGCCGTGAGCACTGCTCCAGCGGGGCCCTTACCTTCTGACCTCGTCGTTCGGCCTGTACAGGACGTCCCACCGCCTGACCCAACATCGCCCAACACAGCCACCCCTCATCACCGGGGCCTTTTTACCATCTTTTACCATCTGAGCCTGTATCGGCCGCTGAGCCCTACCACCTGGGCCTCGCCAGGCGGGCCGTAGTGCTGCGGGGGGTTACCTGGATCGGGCCCTGGCCTCACCATCTTTTACCTTCCGGGCTTCACCGCCTGGGCAAGCTGTGTGCAGACCTCCCTTGTGCAGTCCCTCTCTGTGTTGACCGATATAGTATAGACCTTTTTGTGCGGTCCCCTCTCTGTGTTGACCGATATTGTATAGATCTTTTTGTGCTGACCTTTCTCTGTGTTGACCGATATTATCCAACTTGTGCGGACCGCCACCGTGTTGACTATCTCCGGAAGACCCCGGAAGATCATCTCCGCTTTCTTACATCAGCCATCCATAGATTACATCTTGAATCATAATACATCTAGCTAATTGTTATCATTGACAATCTCTGAATAGTGTGTTTATATATTACTAATTTAGTACGTTCCTTGTTGTCTGTTGCTGCTAATTTGGCATTAAGAACGCAAGATAGCACCAAGGCGCCTGCCTATTCGCTGCTAAATTGCACTAGCACTTGTGCCCTTTCCCTACCCTCTATGCCGCACTTTAGTTAGCGCTGAGAGTCAGATTTGGGTATCTGTTGCACTTTATGATCTTTGCACTTTATGAACTTGCCCAACGGCACGCAGATGTACTGCTGACTGTGTTGCACTTTAAGACTCCGCACTTTACAACCCTCTAACTGTTTGATTGTCGTGGCCGAACCGCCTAATATCATTAGGATTATTATTATCCATGTGGTCCCCCATCCCCTTATTTGTGCTGTTCCTGCTTTTAGTGACCAGTGGAAGGGACAAAGGAGGAAGTGGGCTGGAGCCTGTGAACAATAATGAGGCGGGGAGGGGGGAGGAGGGGAAGCAAGGGAGTTGGCAGGGACCAACAAACCAAACATCTAATGAAACAGATATTAAGACCCTGGTTTGGGACCGCGGCATGGAGGGG